GTTTCCTCTTTGCTCGCGTGTAACTACTAACCATATTGATCATTTAGCCACTAGAGACAATGTGTACTTCTGAAATATATGGACATACAGGTGGTAGTGGGGCCCTAGGCGGTTGCCTAGTTTGCCTATATGCCTAAGAATGGCTCTGCTGGCACGTATTTCCTTATTTGGAGTAAGGAGATCGCCCCCGGCTAGCAATAATTTGTTTGTGTGTGCATCATTGCCATATCCCTTAGGTGTTAAGCGGCCCTACGGGGGCCCCCTGACGTTCGCGGCCCTACGCGGATGCGTAGTCAGCGTATGCTTAAGAACGGGCCTGGCGCATGAAGACAAAGCGCATGCTTAAACTTATTCAACACTGAAACATCCGAACGGTGGGGAATGATCCGTTTAGAAATTTAGTAGAAGTATGATGTATAGCACCAGCAGTTTAAAACAATGTGTATAGCACATTAGTAATAGGGTAATGTATAGTCCTAGATGAGAATGGTGTTTAACCAGAGGTGTAGTGAAGTGAGAGCGGGGGCGGGGGGAAGATGTCCCCGGGCGCCAGCTAGTTAGGGGTGCCAAAATGTGCTTTGATACTATTTTTTAATGAAAATAATGGGTTTGATAGTTGGAACAAAAAAAGGAAAAGGGGTCAATAAAATGAATCTTGTCCCCGGGAGCGAATTTTGTCCCCGGGCGCCTAACACTCTAGCGACGCCTCTGTTTTTAACCCTAGATAAGAAGGATGTTTAACCATAGAAAAGAATGATGTTTAACCCAGGCCATTTAAAGCTGATAGTAATAATATTACAAAAAAATTTTTTTCGCCAAAGCTTGCAAATTATGTAGAAAAAAAATATCTTTTTTTTTTATTAATCCATTTGTATATCAAACTTTATTTCGATCGTATTAATGCCAAAGCCCGTGTCACACGATGAGACAGTTAAGTCCATGTCCCACAATGAGACAGTTAAGGCCAAAGCCCGTGTCCCACGATAAGACAGTAAAGGCCAAAGCCCGTGTCCAATGATAAGACAGTAAAGGCCGAAGCCCGTGTCCAATGATAAGACAGTTAAGGCCGAAGCCCGTGTCCAATGATAAGACAGTTAAGGCCAAAGCCCGTGTCCAATGATAAGACAATTAAGGCCAAAGCCCGTGTCCAATGATAAGACAGTTAAGGCCAAAGCCCGTGTCCAATGATAAGACAGTTAAGGCCAAAGCCCGTGTCCAATGATGAGACAGTTAAGGCCAAAGCCCGTGTCCCACCATGAGCAAAATTCCGCGAGATGAAGAAAATTGTAATGATATTTTTTTTAAATTATTTATCTGAAATATGCTTCCCTAGCTATGAAATCCGAAAACGTATTCCATGCTTGTGACAAGAAAATCCCCAGAAATATCAACGGACTGTTCATGAGAATGATGGATGGAAAATTTGGATCGATACAACAAACATAACAACAACAAAAACGAAGAAAAACGAAGGTGAGGGCAATCAAAATGTCTGGCCGCGGTGGACAGGAAAACATAAAGAGACTGCAAGGTTATAGTTTAAAAGGGGTTTATAGAGTGAAACCAAGGGGGGGGGGTGGTCTGCTCTTCAATGGACCGAGACTGAGATGGACAGACGATGAGGAGTCGAATCAGCTCAGGGCACGCGTGTGGTGACGAAAGACCCATTGATTTGGTCCCAGTGGACGGATTTGGTGCACTGGTGATGCACGGCAGAGCGCTCCTTGAGCAATTGATGATAATGATAATGAGGAGAAAACTATTTCAAGTAAACAGCTTTAACCCATGCAGGGTCGTATTAGCCCATGTAATGCCGCATTAACCCATGCAGTTCCTTATTAACCCATGCTGTGTCGTATTAACCCATGCAATGCCATATTAACCCATAAAGTGCAGTATTAACCCAAGCAGGACCGCACTAACTCATGTAATGTCGTATTAACCCATACAGTGCAGTATTAACCCATGAAGGGTCGTAATAATCCCTAGGCTTCGAGCTCCTTTTGACCCCTCGAAAATGTGAAATTTTCGATTACGCAGCATTGCCATGGCATGGCTAAAGGTTGCTCGGGGCTCCTGCTCTTGGTAGACCCCAAGGCTTGAGCCTACTCAGCCATATGGATAATACGGCCCTGATCAAATTTATAATTCTTTAAACGAAACCGTTTGGTCAGATCCCAAATTACGTGACCAGGATTACGCCCCCTTCGAGGATGGGTAGGTTGGATATGGATGTATGGATATGATGTATGGATTTAAAATGTAGGAACTAAAAACAACAAATCTTGCCTCCACCATCATGGTAACAACCCATTCAAGTACTGCGTGGACGATTCGATTACTTTTAGAGCTAGGATGGAATCGAGTTCATCGACTACTTTTCACTTTCATTATTCCCGGGCGCCTCAACAGAAACTCTTAATATAAATGCGCATGAAGCGTTCGTGTTGACTGGGTGCTTTTTTTTTTAAATGATATAAATATGTATGGGTGTAATGTTTCGGTGTTATATTTCATGTTATAAATGTGTGCATTTACGATTCCAGTATTTTGTCCGCCCAAGTACCGGAAAAGGCTAAAAATGTTTCGCTAAAAAAAAAATGGGAAACTCTTAGTACAAAATGGTGCAGTATCGGGAAAATCCTCACAGACATTAATGTTAGTGGGGAGTTTATAACAAAATAACAAGTTTGTGGGAACCAATTGTGTCAATAATTCGGCCTTTAGTTGAACTGACCCTGCCATTTAGAGCAGTGGCTCCAACGTGAGCGTTACAGACCCCTAGGGGGGGGGAGCTGTGCGATGCGCCAGAGGGGCGCTGAAAGGCTTGGGCCATTTTGTGGGGGCGCTGCGACTCCCAAAAGTAGTGCTGTGGATTTTTATCTGGGATAAGTAAATATTTTTTATAGGATACACTGTTTGGATTGTTGGCATCGAATTAGATTCTATCATAAACGCGCTCAGGTCACTCAACAAAACAAAATGACACACAACACGGAGAGAGAAACACACAACACGGAGAGAGAAACACACAACACGGAGAGAGAAACACACAACACGGAGAGAGAAACACACAACACGGAGAGAGAAACACACAACACGGAGAGAGAAACACACAACACGGAGAGAGAAACACACAACACGGAGAGAGAAACACACAACACGGAGAGAGAAACACACAACACGGAGAGAGAAACACACAACACGGAGAGAGAAACACACAACACGGAGAGAGAAACACACAACACGGAGAGAGAAACACACAACACGGAGAGAGAAACACACAACACGGAGAGAGAAACACACAACACGGAGAGAGAAACACACAACACGGAGAGAGAAACACACAACACGGAGAGAGAAACACACAACACGGAGAGAGAAACACACAACACGGAGAGAGAAACACACAACACGGAGAGNCCCCCCCCTCCCAAACGAAAAATCTGGAGGGCCAGGGGGGGGGGGGGATTTCTGAAATAATCACTGACGACGGGGTTTGGCAAAGTGGGTATTCTTGGTTGATCCGCAGTTTGGTTATACTCTTAAAGCTTGCGGTTGACAACGTGGGTATTTGCTGTTTAACTACAGAGGGGTAGCACACTTAGTTTTGGGGTGTGAACATGGATGTTAGTCCCAAAGTTGAGCCGCAGGCCGCAGATAGGTCGCCCCCTAAGTTTGGATAGTCACGTGAGCGGTTTTTTTTTTACGCAGCATTAATTGTAACAATAAATATTGTTGAGCAATCACACACATGTTTCCAAGATAATTTTAAAAACTTGAACGCAATCGTCATAAGCTGTCATAAACTGCGTTAATAACTACAAAATAAACTACGTCATAGCCTAAACTAAGTCATAAACCACTTGATCTTTTATACAAATTGCAACAACAACAGAAGTGATTGCCCACATCTTGAGCGTAAGTGAGAGAAAGGGAGAACACCAATCAACGCCTTTTCATAAAAAATGACAGCTCCGCACTGAATAAGTAACGGTAAATCAATAAAACACCACAATTTTTGTGCTTGGTTGTTGTTGATTTTAAAATTAATTTTAACAAATTCAAAGTATATTTAAGCTTTTTATTATTTTGGGACAAAATACAAAAGATCAGACCTATTACTATTAATCAAATAAAACAAAGAAAAAGAGTGGATACTAAGTCAATCAGTTTAATTAAATGATTATAAAGGCCTGCGCTTTTTTTCATATGAAGTAATATATTTATGTTGCAGATGGGATATCCTATAATTATTGATATTTTTGCGCAAGGCATTACAAAATATAATCCGACCGTACTGCCAGTATAAAATATATTAATCTTAATTAATTATGTTACAGTTGAGGCGGCTGCTGTATGTTGTGCTGCTGCTTTTCTTGCTTATCTTTTAATTTATTATTTACTAGGTCTAGGTATAGCCCGCCAAACAACGGCGGTGGAAATGCTTGAACTTCTCTTCTACTAAAGTTACTTGACAAAACTTGCATTTAACTACGCCACTGCACACTTTTTGTAAGCGCACCCCCCCCCCCAAACTATAGTAATTGTATAATGTCCCACTCCCTTTTATCAGATTTTATACCCCATTTTTAAATTGAATCTATTTCCGTAAAACAAAAAAAATCCTACGCACTAAACGCACTTGTGATATTTTTATGACAAAACTTGCATTTAACTACGCCACCTCACACTTTTTGGAAGCGCCCCCCCCCCCCCCAAACTATAGTAATTGTATAATGTCCCACTCCCTTTTATCAGATTTTATACACCATGTTTAAATTGAATCTATTTCCGTAAAACAAGAAAAATGCTACGCACTAAACGCACTTGTGATATTTTTTTTAAGAATCTCATCTAGCTAAGTTATCGGTAATTTAATTTTTCGCGCGTTTGAACCTACCAACCTTACTTTCTTTCATGAACAATTATATTGATTGATTTTTAATTTAACAAATTTAAGCAGTGATCTCCCCTTGACGTCTTATTTCTCGGAAATAATCGTTCTTGTTAAGCCTAAATGAACTAAACGCATTTGATTTTTGGTTCAACGAATGTCTTTTAATTCAAGAGAGGAGCAAGTGGGGACAAGAAGCTTATAAAACTTAATTTGCAATAATATTTTTTTCTCCTGTAATGGGTTTAACGAAGATTAAATAGATCATATTCAACAATGATCTGGTTTAGTTTTCTTCGGAAATATCCGTTGCCGTAGTAGCAGTAATAGTAATAAGGGTAAGAAAGTAATTATCCGTTTTTTGGCGAGTATCAGTATGCCTCATCATTTTACAAACCAGAATAAGCAGATAGGTCTTCAAAAGAAAGGCTGCTCGGCGGTGATGTTCTAATCTAAAGGTGAGCATTTATTGTTTCTGTGCAAGTTTCATCTAGTTAATTTTTAAAATTTTATCAAACTGTGTGAGTGACACTCTGTGTGACCCGTGAATGTGTTAGAGTTTGCAGTTAGTGAGTGTGTTTATTATTTTTAACTTTAAGTTAAACTTTAAGTTACTCAGACTCAAGTGACTGATAACTACTATAATTTTAATTGAATTGTTCACGTTAATTGTAATCAGGGACATCATTTTGGTAGAGGCATGGGGCCTAATATTTGCTTCCCCCCCCCCCCCAAACCCCTCTAAATTTGAAGGATTTTTTCAAAATTTAATTTTGGTAGGGGCATGGGGCCTAATATTTGCTTCCCCCCCCCCCCCCAAACCACTCTAAATTTGAAGGATTTTTTCAAAATTTAATTGCTATGTAGGCCTACTGTATAGTGCCTGCAGTGAGTAAAATATTAGTAATAAACCACTCGATAAACTGAAAAAGTTTTGGTTGTTGCCCCCCTTTCCCCCATGAAATGATTTTCTTGATTGTAATGTTACAACGCCCACTCTCCTAATTCACTGTTCATGAAGTGTAACCAGATTAATTCATTACAGGTAGGGCAGACCGGGTACTGACCCAGAGACTTGGAAATACAGAGTATTAGCACACCTGATACTTACGTTCGGGTGGTAAAAAAAAATATCTTCTCATTTTTCTATAAGTCAAGTAAGTGTTCCACCCAATAAGGAAAACAAGTAAAAGTAAATTTGTAGACCAGTGCATCTTTTTCACATAATTTCTTTTGTACATTTTACCTGAATTAAATAACTAATAATATAAACCAAATGTAAGCTAAATGAAAGTACAAAGTCGCAAAGCTCTGAAAAGAATAATGTAATGTGAAGTTTGTGTAGTTATTTGTCTTTTCAAAATGCTTATACGGGCCTATTTTGTTATGACCATGGCACTTTCTATTTACAATTAATACTTCATTTCACATTGCTGATTGGCTGATGACACTGAGTAGCCAAAGTGTTTATGATTATGACTGTAGATCATCTCTTAGTTTTTTCATAGAATTCAATAATAGAGTTTAATTTAACACTCATTTAATAAGGGAAATAACTGGCTTTACTGAAGGAAGGCTTGGATGTTTTCGTCATGATGATGATTATTAAAGTAATATGCGCATGTTGTTATCAGAAAAAGGAAAAGTACTACCAATTAGCAATCAGCAACAAACAGCGAAGCTCCACTCCATGTTTGATTTTTGTTATGTCTATGGGTCAGGGCAGTGGGTCTTAACTTGTGGGTCACTACCCCTTAGGGGTTGGCAGGACAAAATGCCAGAGGTTGCTTAATAAATTCAGAGATATTAGGAGGGGGGGTGGGGGGGGGGGGTTGTGTTTAAAATGTGCATTTTTTATTATTTGAATATACATTGTAAATTGTAAACTTTATTTAAATTGATTGGACTAGTTTCTTATTGTTACTACACTCTGACTAGAATACAGCTGCATAGAGTTGAATAAAAACAATGATGCAGATGTCTGCAGCTAATTTATTATAAATATTTGGTAGTTTTGTTTTCTTAATTTAAAAAAAATGTCCTTATAAATATGATTTCAAAATTGTTTGCTTAAACTCACATGGCATCTTCAAATACAATGGAAAGAACATGCAAATAATGCTGTGCGTAAATATTTTTTAAAAAAATTATGTAATTGGTTAATTTGATGTTGTTTGAATTTAATCTTTGAATTTCTAAAACAGAAAATTAATGTATACGTTGAATATTGGTAGATTACATATCCTTGATATTCAAGATGTTCACTTGTCAGGGCCGGGCCGTATTATCCAAGTTGGTCAATATGCCCCAGGCCCCTGAATCTCAAAGGGTAGCATAGCATTAAGCTGGCCTTGTCGATTTAGTCAATTTGAAATAATCCAATAATGTGAATATTTACTTATTCAAATACAATTAATCCACCTTCAGATTATTGTTGCTCTGAATAATGGCTCTTACCTTAAACGGTGCTCTCGCTCTCTCTCTCTTGAAGAACTATTTAAGAAAAATGTTATTGTAAAACTAAAGAAATTTTGGAAGATGCATCCCACCTTCTTCATCACAGATACTTAGAATTTGCCCTATCGGGACAAATTCTTTCTCTCAAGGCGAGGACTGAAAGAAATAACAATTGGTTTGTTCCCATATCTGTACGAATTTTCCAGCCTGCTCCCCCAGAAGTCACAAAATCTAAATGATCACTAATTAAGCCAGTTATGACTTAACTGAATGGCTGTTGTTTTACACCAGAGAAATAATTTAATGTAGATGTCTTGTGTATAAATTGCTAAAGTTGGAAAATGTGGACTTTATTAAAATATGTATTTATATATGTGCTGAAAATGTATATGCACAATGTAATAAAGAAAACATTTCCATTTGTTTGGATCAATAAAAGAATCTTATCTTTTCTTAGTCTTGACTGTATTGTTGCTTTGACAGCCAATAGCCAGTTTAAGATTGAAACTTATTCCACTTCCATGCTGAAAACAGTCTGTTATGTTAAAGATGAATGATTTAATTTTTTAAAAATCTTTTTATTTATTCTAACTGGTTTTATTGTCTCCACTATGACAGTCATGACTACTACAGATGAAAGTGATTTTAACTACTGCAATGCTAAATTTAAGTCCAGAACATTAGAGACACTGAAGCACATGTTGGAATCGCCCAAAGATGAAGTGGAAAAGCAATTGGCTCAGTCAATTTTTGCTTTCTTGCCAGTGTTGGGAGTCTCTTATGTGGACGAAAAATGGTAAGCTGATTTATAATGTACCGTTTATTACCACCTATTAACATGATCCACGTATAATGCGAACCCCAGACTTTTTGTATTAAAAAAGCCTCAAAGTGCCATGTCCATGTAAAATGCAATCTTCTTCTTCTTCTATATCTTAAGGGCCCACGATCAATTTATTGATCATTTTGGCTCCTATGCATGTAGATGGGATTTGCAATGTTTCTGTTCCTGGTGTTGATGAGGAAATTTCACAGATTTCCAGTGCCACTTTGTGAGGGAATCATGCACTGGGGGTTTGAAGGCTCATCTTGTCAATAATAATACAATACGAATTACCAAAATAAACATTTATTTTTATTAAAAATGTCAAAATCCTTATAAATTCTTATACCGGTAATAGTTAAAAGAAATATTGTCATACCGAATCAATTGTGTTAAAATCCTTTAAAGGTGCATTATTTACATTACTTTTGTTGTATGCAGATATGATGCATGCTTGGCTGCTGAATTCAAGTGGCCAAGAGGATTTTCTTTTTTTTTGCGTTAGTTTGCGTATATAATAGCTGTATTGAAAAAATTCTTACCTGTGTGTATAAAGTAAACCCCTATTTTTCATGAGCATTTTTTACCCTAAATTTATAGCATTATATGTTGTATTTATCTTATTTTAATATCGGCAATTACAGCAAGATCACAGACAATATTTTTGTGTCCCTAATTTATTAAAATGCAAAAATGCATTGTCATGTACATATTTTTTACATGTTTAACTTATTTATTAATAATTCCTTACATATAAACATTACTTTGTACAAATCCAGGAAAGGCATATACTATGTGGTTTAAACTAAAGATGTTTATTTTACATAGTTTAATGCATTTAGAAGTTGAACGATCCCATAAGAAGAACATTTTTGGACTTTCATTTATATTTCATTAAAATAATCATAGAGACTTCATAACTAATGCTATATGGAACATGGGCCAACACATAACACTGGCAATCTGTAATGAGGCCCACAAAGTTTTGGTGTGTAGAGGTTTCCAAAATTTAAGCCCTTAAGGCTGCCCCAGAATCACTATTGTAAATATTTAGATAATCTGAATGCAGATTGTATTTAAAAATTTCTTAGCATCATAAATAGTAAAATAGTTACAAATGTGAACTTCGTGTGTTGATTTTATTTGTTTATGTGGACACAGCCTGTGAAATCATGAAATCTCTAACATTATATGTTCTTGTGTACTTTACTATTCAAGGCCATCATTTACGGAGCTGGCTAGTAACCCTGCATTTAAAGAATTTTTATTTGCTATTTTATCATTGGGGAGAGGTGCTAAAAGTGACCATCAGTTATTTAAAAAGGTAGGTTCATTTTTTTCTTATTAACAAAACCTAATTAATTGTCTTAGTTCTGATTAAAATTTACCTGTACTGCTCACTGATATCAGAGGAGCCAGTAATTAAATCTCTAAGATAATAAAACACAGTCTTTGAACAGAGTTTTATTAGTAGAGAAAAATTGGACATTTTCTAATAAGTATGCTTTATGAATTATGAATGGAAATAGAAAACGTTAAAGTGAATTGAGTCTACCATAACTACCAGGGCTGCTTGTTTGCTATGATGCCATCGAATGACTTTATTTTCTAAATACAACATCACCATTAAAGGAATAAATACCTCTTGTAATTTTTATTACAGACTGCAAAGCCAAATAAAAATTTAGTGCTTGGATTGACTGGGAAACCAGTACATCAGGTATCTTTACTTTTCTCCTTATTTGTAATTATTATACATACATTTTTAAAAATTTTATTTTGTTTAAAACAAAAAAAAACACCATAAAAACCAAAGAAAAGAAAAAGAAGAAGAAAAAAAATATACATATGTTTCACTCATTCATAAATATATATGTATTATTATATGGAATCCTTCCATCTTTGTGAGACGATAGAGTATCTATTGACACTATATCAAATGGCTTATGGGGCTAATCCTGGAATGGCTTTCTTGACTGCACTTCTTGCAGTAGAACCTTAATCCCTGATTGAATTTGGCCTTCCTCAATGTTCTTTTTGTTGCAAGGGCTTCTTGTCGCTTATCATTCACCTGTTCGACTCCTTCATACACTGCTGTTCACCATGTCAAACTGTGTTCAGCAATGATCTCCCATTCATTGATTTCTATGTTGGCTTCCCTCATGTTCCTTTTGCATACATGTTTTAAAAGACCGACCAAAGCATCCGTGCAAGGTCACATCCTCCTTTATAAAAAAAAACAGAAAAAATGTGACCAAGAAGCAGCTCCCCCTACAATTCAGTTCTGTAATGTTCATGGTTATTTCAACCACTGTTTAATTTTCTCTAGTAAATTTAATTTCACTGAGTAGTTTTTCTGTACTTTAGCTTTGAAGGTTTGAAGACTAGCAAATTATGTATATTAAAAGCAACGTTAAGATTTAATCAATTCATTTGTGTTGCAAAAAATCAGCTTTTTTTCAATAGATATAATAATTTTTAAATTAAATTATCAGGTTTCTAATTTAAATAACTTATTCTTTGCATTAACATTTTTCAGTGATAAGGGATTTCCAACTAAATAACATTTCCATCCAAATAATATTTTTTTATATTTTTATAACAATTTTATCAGACAGATCAAGAATCAATGGCAATACCTAAGCTAAAGAAGGTACTATTTTATTTTTGAATAACTTGAATCTAAGTATATTTGTATATATTTAAAGAGCATAGTCATTTATTTTTGAATAAAAAGCCATATCAAAATTTAAATCTGTAATATAATCGGGTATGGAGATATTGATAATCGTATGTTCCCCCTCCCCAAAAAAAAAATTTTTTCTTTGTGCTTGAAATGTAAAAACAGAATATGATAAAATACATACTAAAGATTTTGCTTATAAATAATAAATTTGCTCTCCAATTAATTACAGGAAAATATGGGTGGTTGTAATGAATATCAAACTATTTTTTTTATAATAGCTTTACTCTTACTATCAGATAAATACGTAAAATAATTATTTAATTATGATATTAAATATATTTCTAATTATTTAACAATACTTGCAAGTTAAAGATTATAAAAACTTAGCTATAACTATAAGCAGATTTTATTTTATCACATTTAAATCGTTTTCATTTCCGTATCACTTCACTATCATTGTTTATTAGAATCGAGTCTTATGCATCTAAATTAGCTCTTTCTTATCTATATTAAATAAAACTCTCTGGACATGCTTTTATTAATGGCATGAGTTAATTTAAGAATGTATGATGAACCTAAACAGCAGGAACTTTGTTTGATAAAACACATTATAATGGACCTTGAAAATGTTTGGCTATTATTTACAGAAATGTTACATTATCTTACTTAAAATAAAGTAACATCGCTATAGTACCACATTACAATATTGAAAAAGGCTGCTGAAATGTTTTTCACTCAGCATTTCATTCTGATTTCTGTATATTTACATAAGCAGCTGAATTTTCAATAAATATTTGATATTGGCTGTGTTTTACCTTCTCCTTAACAGCCCAATAAATAATTGCCTTACTAGGCTGCCAAGTCTGTTCAAAGATTTACTGACTACTGCGCTGACAAATACATGTAGTCTACCTATTTACTTATAAGTTTGGATGACTGGATAATGCTCCGAAACACACTTTAAATTTGTTTGAATAATATAGTTACATGATTGGAATATGGATTATTCTAGTTATATTATTGGAACATGAATTATTCTAGCCCCTATAACATTGGTTTTTCATTGTTCTAATTAGAACTTTAAGGCATGGATTTTTCTGTATTTTTTTCCAGGACAATTCAGATCAGGAATTTATTAAGTTAAAACAATATTGTGAAGAGGAAATCAAGGAATTGGACGATAACCTCAATGAGGTATGTTCTTTTGTGAGAAAATAATTGTGGCAAGTACTGTTAGTCCCATAATACTCTTTGGCTTTTGTCCTCCCTATATTATAATTAGTTCTGTTAGGGGAGAGATACAGAGAATATTTCCATGACACATTTTTATATTTCAAAAAGAATTTAGAGCCATTTTAATTTTCATGATGATTGAAAAGACCATTTAATTCAATGATCTTTTTTTTTGGTTATGATGTGTGTGACAGGCTGATAATTTTGATGTGTGTGACAGGTTGGTTTACTTGATGGAACATTATGTGTGTCACATGCTTATCTATTTGATTTGACAGTATTAGTGTGACTGGTTGATCTATTTGATGATACAATATGTGTGTCACATAACTGTCTATTTGAGGGTGCAATATGTGTCACAGGCTTATCTTCACTATATTTCATAATTATGTTGTAACTCTTGCAGTTAAATTTGGGACGTGGGGGGAGGGGGGGGGGGAATTTGTGGATTGAAAAGCCTGGTACTATTTGAGGGTGCAATATGTGTCACAGGCTTATCTTCACTATATTTCATAATTATGTTGTAACTCTTGCAGTTAAATTTGGGACGTGGGGGGGGGGAGGGGGGGGGGAATTTGTGGATTGAAAAGCCTGGTTAATTGTTAATACGATAGCAATTTTATTTCTAGTTCTGTTAAAATTCAGAACTTGATCTAATTACAAAGATACATTTTATATATATGAAGTGGCTATTCAAAATGGCCCCGGACAGCGCCACCATTTGCACCTGGGTCCCATTAGACCAATGCTATTCAGATGTCATTTGTGGCAGTTTTAGTTAAACTGAAGAAGTAATTGCACAAGCATATAGTCTATTCAATTATCTTTCATTTGATACCTCTTTTTGTCTAACAAATCCAGCAATAAAATTTTAAATAGTTTTTTAATGCCAACCTCTCACTTCTGGTACCCGGGTACGAATAGGCACAGCCTTATATATATATAATATATATATATATATATATATATATATATATATATATATATATATATATTATATATATATATATATATATATAATATATAAACAAACATTTAAACTATCATCAAATTGCAGATATCAATGCGCTGGAATACATCTGATGGTAAGCAGACATTTTGTATATGCATAAAAATAGTTTCTATGATTCTTCATTGCATTGAGGTAAGATTAAATGCCAGCAAGACACCAACACCTTATTATATTCCAGGTGTCTTGAGTTGTTGTCGATGGAAGAAGATAAAACAGAGCTTTCTAGTGTGTATCTCAAAGAGACCAGCTCTCCATTATTTGTGGACCTTTTTTCACATGTGGACAACTGAGCGACTATACACTAACCTGATAAAACTTAGAATAAAAATTGAAGTTCGCCGATATTTTATCAAGAAATCACAAACTTTGCCTGACTTTAAGCTCAGCAAAACAAAAACAGGATAATCTTACAGACAAACACATAAATCGCAAAATGTGCAAATGTTATGAAAAAGAACTTATTGAAAGACTTCTAGCCATGTAATAGTAAAGTGTCCCAAATAAATATAACCCAGAACCAACAAGAGACTTAAGATACTAATAAGCCATAATACAGGGGAAGAAGTAGTTGATGTCTTAAGGAAAATTAGACAAATAAAATGGATAACGAACAATTTGCTAGAATTAAATTTCACTTATTTTTATTTTTATGTTGTGTCAGTGGAACAGAGAAAGTGATTAAAAACAAAAAAAAATTATATTTTAAATATGAACCTTCAATGCCAAATTTATTGCTTCTAATCAGTTTTCTTCTGGGCTAAAAAATTAAGGTGACCTGGGAATACAGAACTGCAAAACAAATGAGAGTGAATTAAATCTCAGGGTCAATGAATTGAAGTTGCTTGTTGAAGTAAGCTTTTTTTGTTTTCAATTAATCATTAAAATTTCCAATATTCCTTTAGTGAGGTTTTTAGAAAAATGATATGTAAGCAACCAATATATTTAATTTATAGTTTATTTTTAATCATGGAACACAAGCTTGGCATGTGAAGATAGTTGGGCTAATATTTGCCCTTTGTCAATCATTGTAAAACATTAATATCCATACTGAATTCTACATAATAATTTATTCTTTTGTTACTTTTTAATTATTATTTTTTTCTTTTAACTTTATAGTCTATATTAATTTCTGTATAACTTCATTAAATTTGAAATAGCTGTATTAACTTTAAATGTCTATATTTACTTTTAAAAATCCACACCCTCTTTTGAGCATGTGTTATCTTTCTAAATTGAAATGTCTATACTTACTTATATTCAGATAATGCAAGTAAATAAGTTATAAATTTCCATTAGTGTCTTCTATATATGTATGCATTAGTAATTGCTTAGTTTTTTATTAGACTTTTTTAATAAATTGCGAATTAAATCTCCCAACTGTTTTCATATCAATTTAACTTTTTTTTTTCCTTCATTTTATTCTGTTTTTCCCTTCATAAAATCTTGCTCTGTTGGATTGGTTATGGTAAATTCAGAAAAAAAGAAATCACATGAATTTGCAGAAAACCACATTTATTAGTGAAATCAATTCTTTTCATTTTTATTTCAAAATATTTCTAAAACCTGTTCTTCATTTATTTCCCTATGTAATCAAGGAACGGTTGAACAAACTTAGTGGTGGCATACAAGAAATGATGTCCAAATGGCGACGTCTTGAAGCCATTTTACATATCAAACATGATTTATCAAACGAAGCTATACATACAGCTCATACACAAATGCAGCACCTGCAAGATGTGTGAGAAATTTTCTCTTATATTTTCTAACTTTATCTGTGACATTTTTAATCTTGATTGCTTGCATGACATATTTATTTATTGTAATGCAGCATCTGTTCACATGACATAGGCTATTTGTTGATTCAAGTGTTCCATAGAGCAAAATATTTAATGGGTTTCATATTTTGTTTTTAAAAATTTAAATTTTGGAATATTCTTGAAAAGACTTTGTTACCTGTAGTAATTTTATTTGTGCCCAGTTTGTTTGACATTAGTACCGGTTAACTGTCTAAGACGTCTCATGCTCCACTTGTAGTACAATATGAAGTCAGTGTTCTTCCCACATCATTTTTATTATGGAAAAAAATACACTTAGATACCTCCATAAATATACAATGTCTTATTTCGCAAAGGATGAAATATAAAATATTAATTGTACGTACCTCACTATAAATCCACTGTCGCTCTCAAAAAATTTTTTAGCTATATCATATCACTCAAAACTCTACATATGCTATGTCCACAGTGATGAATAGACTTTTCTCCACTGCTAATTTAACATTTTTAACATAGCAGACCAAAAGTATAGTTCCTTCCCTAATTAATCACTCATAGCACTTCACCATGTGCAGTTCTGATGACTTTTACTCAGGGATGATTGAGCAACAAATATGATAATGTTACAGACTTTATAGTGATTGTAGTCCCCATTGGATTGTTATAATGTTCTATATCTAGATGTGACAACCTATAATATTGAATGATGTAAATTTAGACTATAGACTTTGAAGGTCATTTTGACAAGGACTAAATTACTAAAGGACTAAAGGACTAAACATATTTCAATTATAAATTATACTTTTTTTCTTTCCATCATGTTCATATATATAGTTTTAGTACTGATGCTCTGTGCAATAGGACAGAATAGTATACAAATTCACAAAGATATTCCCACTGAATGCATACACATCAGTTGGCATTGCATATACATCCGATAGTGGCAAAATATTGATACCGCGCACTTTCGCATTTGCTGGCCCAACAATTTGGAACGCCCTTCCTGTCGCTCTCAGAAACAGCCAGACACTGGAGTCCTTTAAAAACGATTTAAAAACACATCTATTTCGCAAACACCTTCTGGGGTTATGTTGTCTACCATCTTTTACCAGTTAATGTATATTGGCTGGTGTTGTTTATGGTTGAGAGGGATGAAAGACTTTGACTTGGTTTGCTCGTATGTAGTTTTATAGTGTTGCGTTTGTTTTTAAATGTGCTAAATTATAGATTGTTTTTATTTCTCTTTTCTAATATGGTTGACTTCGAGCTTTTGGGGATGAAGCTTGTTTTTCAAATAAACTTTATTATTATTATTAAAAGGAAATAGAAATGGTTACAATACAATATATTTCCTGTCAAATTAATGGAGTTGATTTAAATTAAATTCTTAATAATAAAATTAGTTGTTTTTTTAATTGGATTTTAGTTTCAAACAAGCTTATAACCTGACCAGAAAGGACCTATGGTGCTACAAGCCTTTCCGCCAAAAATTGGAAGCACTGAAATTAATCATAAAGAATAAGTATGTTGTCAATAGTATACCAAAAAGTATGTTGTATTTAGCATACCCCCAAGTATGTTGTCTTTAGTATATCATTAAGGTAGTTATCTTTAGTATATCGCCTAGTATGTTGTCTTTAGATTATACTAAGTATGTTTAATCTAGTATACCACTATTTATGTTGTCTTTAGTATGTCACTAATAATTTGTCTTTAGTATTCCACTAAGTATTATTTTTGGTATACTGCTAAGTATGTTGTCTTTGGTTTATCGCTAAGTATGTTGTCTGTAGTATACTACTAACTATGTGTTTTTTAATATACCACCATGACTTTATTTAATGAAAATAGACTCTAAAATCTTAGGTCGCAAATATTCCTACAACACTTAAAGTTATTGTCAGTAATATTTGAAATGCTGTTCCATCTACATGAGCAAAACTGTTTTTCATACTGTCAATATGATATTGATTTCTTCCTACTGAAATAAACTCAAAATGACCTACAAAACTTTTCCAGATTTTACCCCTCCTCCCCCCCTCCTCCCTCCCCCAAATGTTTCCTTTTACTTTGACATAATTTAAGAGACAAATTACTTTTATGCATATACCAGACCTGTTTACCCTCAAACTCTTAAAATTGTACAATATCATCACAAAATCGTTCAATACCTTATATTTATAGTAAAAAAAAAACCATACAGTATATGTAATATTTCCACCTCAAAATCGTACATTGTGCGCCAAAATCATAAGACTAAACAGGTCTGATATACCATATTTTTGCCAGCATATACAAATATAGGACGTATGCAAATATAGGACACAACTTTTTCCCCTCAAAATACAGGTGTGTCTTATGAGCCGGTAGTAAAAAAATTATGGATTTAAAAAGTGGGTGTCTTATACGGCAGCATATAACAGCAGCAATACACAACTCTTCCATCTTCATTTCTCCCCAGTGCTTGGTGCTATGAAAAACAACCACCAAAATGTCTGGAAGTTGCAAAAGGAAAAAGAGGGGAATTTGTATTGACTATCCGGTTTGTAGTTATTTGTCTGTGGGTGTGTTTAATTATCATTTTGTGATAATGACATTTACAGTTTCTGTGGCTTTGCTTTTGTACGTTACAAGTGTACAAGTTATTCTATTTTTAATAATTCCTCGTTTATATTTTTTTTTGCAATTTTGCTTGATATTTACTTTAAAGCGAGTGTTAGTCTGAAAAGAGAACATTCATAAGTTTTTTACTTTCTTACTAAAGTGGTTACCATTGCCATACATAATTGTACATAACGGTCATATTTTTTTAAAGCAATCACTCTCCCATCACTTTCTGTCCATTTATTTATTGAGCATGATTTATTTTACACATTTTTTTTCAGTAAAGTTAGGAGCTTTGTAGCCTACATATATCTCTATTCATCTTATTTTTTTACATTTACTCCAATCTTTTGTTTCATTTAAAATTAACTGATAGGTTTTATTTTTGTTTCATTGCCTTATCGGAGATTTTTTTTTTCACTATTTCAATTTTTACCCCAGAATTTTTGGCATTTCTGAAGATCAGTTGGATAGGAACTTCACATGGAATTATATTCTTGAAAAGGGTTGTGATGATAAGGTAATGAAATAAATTAACTCTGAAAGAAAGTTTCTAAATATATTTGATGAGTGCAGAAGCGTATAGTGCAATAAAGCTGAGTATCCATGCCGACATCATCATCGAATATGGGTACCAGCATTATCAACCAAGACACTGGTACCTGAACCAGCATTATTAGCCAAGAGATGGGTACCAGCATTATTAGCCAAGACATAGGTACCAGCCTTATAATCCAAGACAAACCTTTAAACTACACCATCAGGTTTAGATATGAAAGATTTTGGGTTTCAGTTTCTGTAATCAAATAAGAAAAAATTCCAATGAAGAAATGGAATACAGAGCTTTTGAAATACCGGTTAGCATTACTCTGCACAGAATGCATTTAAGATGATGCATCAATTGCATGCCACAACAGAAAAAAAACACAACAGGATGCCACTACAAAAGGATACCACTTATGGAAAGAGGAATAGGCCTCGGCAATCCTGCTAAACTCTCGGTGGATAGGGATAGTTGAAATGTATTAATTTATTTTTACATCTGTCTATGGTACATCAGGGCCTTGATACATCTGGGCGTGTGGTACATCTGGGCATGTGGTACATCAGGGCTTTGATACATCTGGGCGTGTGGTACATCTGGGCATGTGGTACATCAGGGCTTTGATACATCTGGGCGTGTGGTACATCTGGGCATGTGGTACATCTTGGCATGTGGTACATCTGGGCATGTAGTACATCTGGTCCTGTGGTACATTTGGGCATGTGGTACATCTGGGCATGTAGTACATTTGGACATGTGGTGCATCAGTGCAGTGACTATCTCTAAGCAGTTTATGTCATTTGAGTAAATACAAGAGCTCATATAGTCAAGAATTGTATTTTTATTTTGAATTAATTATTGAAAGTTATTTGATAAAGCTTGACTGTTTCAGATTATCAGAAAAGAAGTTAAAGTAATCGGTGAGACCAGTGTTCAGTCCACTGAGTGTGGCATTCTTATCTCTGTTAATATGCGACTGGAAGACTACAAAAGAACTACTAAGCGTACCTCTGAGGACAGCTTTGATCACTTTAACAGAATTGTGTGCCAAATTAAATTCAAAATGACAGACTCCTTGAAAGTGGAGGTAACTGAAAATTTTTCACAAGAAATAATACATAGATCAGACATATCAAAAATGATACCTCGCTATAGATGCTAATAATAACATAATTAAGATGTATATATTTAGACGACCTAATTTGTATATTTCAATAAAGACATAACAAAAATTATTCAGACATCCCAAGAAATACCAAATTAAATTATTTTTTTTAACGAAGTGGCTATTCATACCCAGGTACCAGAAGTAAGAGGTTGGTATTAAAAAAACTATTAAAAATTTTGTTGGGTTTGTAAGACAAAATGAGGTATGAAATGAAAGATAATTATATGGACTATATGTTTGTAAACTTAATTCTTCAAGTTAACAAAAATAAACTACCACAAATGACATCCGAATAGCATTGGTCTAATGGGACCCGGGTGCAAATGGTGGCGCTGCGTGTCCGGGGCCATTTTGACTAAATGCTATTTGGATGTCATTTGTGGTAGTTTATTTTAGTTAAACTGAAGAAGTAAGTGTACAAAAATATAGTTCATTCAATTATCTTTAATTTGATACCTCATTTAGTCTTACAAACCCAACAATAATATTTTTAAAAGTTGTTTAAATCCCAACCTCTCACTTCTGATACCTGGGTACGAATAGTCGCAGCCTTTTTTAAAAATACTCCTAACCATTTTTCTGTGGTGTCGGTCAACCATTTTTTGGTGGTATCTGTCAATCTTCGTGAGATGATGCTGTCTTGTTTTGATTTATATCTTAGCTAGTGCCTGTTAGTCTCAGCTTCACTTTATGTCCTGGAGCAATAGTCCCAGTTCCACTTTTTGCAGGAGAATCTTGACTGGGGGTTCACTTTGCCCTGCCAGTGACAGTCCCAGCTCCACTTTTTCAGCAGAACATTAACTGGTGGTTTATTTCATCCGACCATTTTACTCTTTATTCTATGATCTTTAGGTTTTGTGCATTCGCTGACCATTTAACCTCCAAATTGACCTACTGTACACCAGCCTGAACAGTCATCAGTCATTAGTGCTTTCTAATGTTAATTTTGACTACATTCATACCTTCTTAGAGACCCAGCAATACAGTTATGGCCTTTGATGTTACACTTAACACCATTCTGGAAGTGTAGACCTACCTATTCAGTACTGTTTGTATTAGCCCATGCTGTACTTCAGTGTTGTATTTCCAATTTGTAAAACTTTTTTTTTTTTAATCCTGTGAAAGTGATCCGAGGCAAAGAAAATTTCCTTCTAATGATCTGCTGAAGTAAAATAATTGTCAAATGATTACAAGTAAATATATAGATGTCTGTTGACCAGTTTTAATGAGATATCATTATTTTATTTTCACCTGCTAAGATTAAGAGACCTTGAAACCCGCAAATGGAGGCCAGCCTCTGGTTTCATCTCACTTCACATGCTCATCTGATTTGTTTGGGGGATACCAGGAAAGACTGGAACAATTTAAAATCTTTTTATAATCCTTTTTATTAACTTCGTTTTTTTTCCATGTGTTTCTTTCTTTATGTATTTATTTGTGGTGGCAAAATCTTCCGGAGGCTAGTTGACCCACTTCCCATCATCCTATCAAGCTAGCCAATGACGATATATTTGTTCAAATTTTCAGCCCCACCCCCAACCCCCAAAATTATTTTTTCCTTTTTTTCAAGTGGAGAGGAATATTAATGATTTTTTTCAATGGGTGTGTGTTTAGATGTGGAGCTTAAATGTGTAGCTGTTGCTATGTGCTTGTGTATTTTTGGGTTAAAATATATCTTTAGTCTATTAGGTTTTATATGCACAAATTTGATAAAAATCATTCCCGTACTAAAAAATCATTTGCTACTATCACATGATAAATCACATACATATTATGTAACAAAATGCATATAAAGGATTTATACCAAAAACTTTGTTTTTAGGGGTTGTTAAATTATTAGATAAGGAGAGTTCATCTAGCGCCCTGTATAGTACTAATAAAATCGTGGTTATGTATCTTCAATGCAATTGGGTACAGCAAACCATGCAAATGGATTGAATTTATTACTTTGAATTGTTTCACTTATTTGTAAATTTTTAAAAAAAATGAAATTGGGGCAAGTTGTGTTTTTCTGTGCTGGTCTACTTGGCTGTTGATTTGTTTCCTTCCCTGCAGTGTTGGTCCCTTCCTTTCACTGTCAGGACCGGCAACTCACAGCTGTGGCCTTACACTGGAGCTGTCGATTGGTACTGCTGGGCTCGAGAAGATCTGGTCAGTATTTTCTTAGTATGGACAATGGAACTACTCTTGTGGGTAAACAATCCTTCCCAGTTTCAGTGTAAAAATCTGATGCCCTGAAAGTGTAGGATGGTGATGCCCTGAGAGTGTGGGTTGGTTATGCCCTGAACTTAATTCTTTACTCACAAAAGTCAGGAGCTGTTATAGTATAATCATTGCCAACATAAAAAATTATCTGTCTATTGCTCAATAGCATTAATTTGATTTTGATGAGGTGTGGGGGGGGGGGGGGGGGGGGGGGCTAAATTGAACTATAAATCATATAACACATAATATGCATTATTATTTAATTCATCAAGAATTCCATTTCATTAGGCAAAGAAGTATAGTGGTAAGAAATTTCATCCAATTGATAAAGTTGTCCTACATACCTTTTATTACAGCATTTTTTCAGGGAGGAGATGACATATGTCTAAGACTTAATTATTTGGGATTTTAGAACAAAAAATAAGAACCCATTGTACCTTTAATAAAAAATTAAAACTTTAGTTTTTCAATACGTTTCATATGCATTCTCTTAAAAAATATATATTTGTAATTTTTATTTCCAAACATATCTAAAGATGCTTACAAAATGCCTTTTTTTTTTTAATAAACTTCTGATAGTATAAGGCACCATACAGGTGTCCCAAAGATATGAACATGGACAATGGGTTATCCATGCTACAAGCTAAATATGAAGCTATTGATCCTGAAGGTTTCACTCCGGACCATATAAAAACTTTGCAAACTATGATACAGTGTAAGTTCCTTTAATAAAGTTTCCTTGAGCCCTTAGGTAAAGTATTTTAAACTTTTCAGCCAAATAGTATTGTGCTCTGCTGCTCATTGTCTATTTTAAAGGTCCTGTTTTTAATGTGAAAACCATATGGGTTTTTTTTTGGGGGGTGGATATTTCATGACAATAGATATCATTTTTACATAAGTATACCTGTGAATGCATGAGGTTCTTTTCTTCTATTATTGGCGATTGGGAAAAATAAGTTAATAATTCAAAAACTTTTTACTAGTTTATCATGGACATTTGAGTTAAATATTGTCATGCAATAACTTCATTCAAAATTTTTAGTATTGATGATTGGCCCAATAGTTTTAAATTGGCCACCAGGAGAATGTCATAAATTAAATAGAAGAGTGCATCTCCACTTAATCAAATTATGACACAATAAATAACTTCCCTTGATTTCCAGCTTTCATTTCAAGGGCAAGCTATCTTAAGGGGCTTAAAATCTTTTTTAATTCAAAGTCTCTAAGCAAAGAGCTACTTGAGATCTTCGAACACATACGTTTTTGATATACAATAGGTACTCCAAACCAATTTTTCAAACTAAACCAACAACATTTTTGAGTGTTTAAGATGAAAGAGTTAAGACTTCTAAGAATGTAGACATTAAATTTATGACTATTATTAAGATAGTTAAGCTATTTTAATTATTTTTTTCTCCGCTTACGAAATGACAAAGACCCATATTCATGAGTCATTATCTTAAAATGTTTGTCCCCTGCACTCATTTCCTTTACAATACTTACAAAATTCTATAGAGAAAACAAACAAAAATTTTTTTCAGCGTATGGGACATCAAACTATTATAATTTATTGTCGTAAAGATGGCATTTTGTACAATTTTCAAATTTTACCAAGAGAGGCAAAAAAATCACAAAAATGACCTATTTTTAAAAATTCACAAAAAAATTATCTAATTTACTCATAAACATCATTCATATAGCAATTTAAAAGAGAATCAAAGATCTGTAGACCAATTCATATTTGACAAATAGCTAAATATTCAAGAGGCCTAATTTATTTTACACGTTTTGCACATTTTTCAAAATAAAAATTAAAAATAACATCCTATATGTTTGAAATCACTTAGGAAGTGACTATAATTGTTGTCTTCATATAAAGTAAGCATACTTGACACCACAAAATACCGCTGAATAATATAAACATTTGAAAAAAGTAGAGTACAAAAATGTTTTTTTTATATATAATTATTTGTTTGTTTCTTGTTTTGTTTTTTTGTCAGCTGAAGAGGGCATTTAGCCAAAATGTCCACTTAATTGTCCTGTATTTAATAGTCCTGTATTTTCTTTAAAGCTTTCTTAAAAACATATCTTGTTCCACTATTTATTTACTTTACGTGGTTTCAAAGCAGTCGCTCATACATTATCCTCTCAAAGGGTTTAACCAGTTTTTATTTCATTGGCTAGTTATCTTTTAAGGGGGTTAACCAGTTTTTTTAAATGTTTTTATTTTATTAAAAAGCAAAGAGTTTCCCTTCAATAAAAGAAAACCTCATTTTATCACAAGATTTTCCCCACAAAATTTATCAAACATTTTAATACATTTTTTTTACCTCAGCATGTAATACAACGCACGAGACCTATCTATTACAATAGTACCATTTCGGCTATTCATCTATGTAAGCATGTAAACATTTTTGACACAATTTTCTCTACATATCTTTCTTTCAGCATTCACAACGGGCAGATGTATAAAGATGCATGATTTTATCCAAAAGAGCATGCCATATCAGAACCATGGAAAACTTAAAAATCCCACTGATCACAAGATATCATTTTATACCTGGTTTGTTGCTGTGTGTAACACAGCTAAAAAATTTAAGAAGTGTTTAGTCACTAAAAGCCACGATGAAGAAAACTTCAGGTAAGAATAAGAAAAAACGTTTTTATGGATGGTCATTATTTCTATCATATGTTGTCATTGCCTCACTTTTAGTTGGTCATTTTTTCAAATGTTGGTTGTCATAATTTAAACAAATTTGTCATTATTTCAAATGTTGGTCATCATTATTTCAAATGTTGGTTGTCATTTCAAATGTTGGTTATCATTTTTATTCTTTAAATGTTGGTTGTCATTCAAAAAATTGACCTTAATTTTAAATGTTGGTTGTCATTTTTTTCAAATGTTGGCTGTCGTTAAAAATGTTGTCTTTATTTCAAATGTTGGTTGTCATTTTCAAATGTTGTTCATCATTATTTCAATTTTTGGTTGTCATTATTTTAAATGTTGGTCGTCATTATGTCAAATGTTTGTTTGTCATTATTTCTACTCTAGGTTTATTGCAAGTTTTTTATCCTATGAAGCGTGCTTGTCAACACTGAAAAGACAGCCCATTGGAAGTACTATTTTAAGGCTCTCACAAAACCGTGTAATCAGTACCCAATCCTCTATGCCATGTGCAAGTATTATTGTTCACGTGGTTTCATATCCAGATGGTTAGTAGCCTATATTTTTTATGCACAAGATGAAGTCTCTATATTTTAAACAGTGTTTAATTAGAGTGCGCCGGCTGTATGTCTCAAATTGCATTGTTTAATGATTGGTTAATATAAAATGTGGATCTTGGCACCACTTGTGTTATGCGGGGTAATACAATATTGTAATATCCTGATTATAAAAAAAATGTAACCTCCAGAAATATATCACTTAATTATATATACAGGGTGGGCCAATAAAAGTGAGAACATTTCGTAGCGTAATATTTTACGAGATGTTCTCACTTTTTTTGGCCCACCCTGTATATCGCTTAATTAGTCTAGCTTTTTTTGGGTACAATATTATAAAATTAATTTTGTGACAGTATGAATTTTATGTGTTGGGCATATCTGTATTTTAATTATCTGAAATAATGAGAAGAAAACTGATCCAATTTATTTAGCTAATCAAAATGATGTTGAACATTTCAACTTTATTTATATTTTGTTGATTCTTTGTAAGTCACTCTTTACCCCTTAAGGAGTTTTTTTAAGTAGAGATTTGAATAATAGTAAGAAACATGAATAGAATATAAAAAATTTATATTAGTTTCCCTGAATTGGGGCTAGTTATGGGAGTAAGATGGAGAGAATAATGATAAGATGGGGGCAGCAGAGGAAAAGAAGGAAGTATTTAAGAGGGGAGCTTCAGATGCCATTATTTACCCTATGTTTTGTTATTACATGAAAACAACGCTACATACCACAATGTACTAGCCAGGGTTTTAAGAGGTCTCAAAAGCTCAACAGAATATGTGCGTTAGTAGCTTATACATTTCTAACACAAACATGGATAGTGCTAATTGGCTAGTACACCCTATGTGAGTGCCCCATTGTGTTATTTCCAACTACTTACAGATTATAAAGATCCTGTGTCACACCATGTGTGCAACTGTGACAATGAAGAAGATCTCATCAGAGAGCTATCAGGTCTGGCCCTGCCTGATAAAAATCCATTAGTTAAGACAATTGTTTATCCCCGAGATATTTCTTTCACTGAAATAAAAAAGTGCTTTCCAGGTTTGTACCTTTTCTTTTTTTCCTTAACTGCATTTTTAATGAATAATTTCACCTTGCTGCTGATATGTTCTTTCCAATGAAAGTATAACCTACCTCAACCTGTATAAATGTTTGCATATTAAGTTGAAAAAACAGGAACATTGTAAATAAACTTTGTATGTTCTTGCAGTTTTAATTGACAGAAATTTGTTTTATTTCCAAATTAATTCTGTTAATTAAATTAACCATATTTGTTTTTAAAAAATGTATCATAATTTACACAGGCTACAAAACATCCTTTTCTCTCTTCCCCCCCCACCCCCCAAAAATATCTGAACCAGTGGTTCTCAAACTTTTTCAGACAAACACCCCCACCCACCTCCATGAGGGCAAGGCCATAAACTCATCCTGAGTGCGCCCCCCCCCGGTTTTCTCAATTTCAAAATTCTCAGAATAATATTTTGAATGATACTCTTCTGAAGATATTTACAAAATAAAATATGTACTTCATAAGTTTTAAAACAAAGTATAAATATATAAACTTTTACTTTAAGAAATTCAATAATAAGCTGAATAATTTAGCTAGTGACACATGGGCTCAACATTTTTACTGATATTGTTAAAGGTATGGTAGAGATGTAGCAGTTTGTCAAATGGGTGGTAGTATTTCTCATAGCAGAAATGTAATTGACTATGTCCATTTTTTAAAAATTGCTGTTTCTTTGCTTGGAGCAATGTTAGACAGCCACACAAAAACCCCTTTCCAAAAAAAATGAATACAAGATGCAATAAAGATCTTATTAACAACCTTTCTTTTTGCAGGATGGGGAACTAAATTTTCCTATGCCTTCTAAACTCTAAAATACCATTTCTTAAACTTTTGCATTAGCTCATTATTATTTTAGCGGAAGTTATCGCCTCTAAACTTCACCAACTTCCTTAATCATGATCTGGATTTATCTCTCAATCTATCATTTCCATCAAAAACAAATCCTAAAGGCACTCATATTATAATAGCAAAGAGGGTGAAAATACTTGATTCTCACCTTTCTCTACTTCTTTAGAAAGGCTTGTAAATGATTAAACTTGAGATATCTAATAAAGTGTGTGAATAGAGTGATTTTGATACCAAGTCATTTCCTGGTACTTCCATTTAAAAGTTGGATCAAAGAACTTTACTCACTTTTTGTTGCGTTGTTTTTTTACAAAAATTATCACAACTTGTTAATCATTGAATCTAATTTGATGCACGAAATTAAACAGTATATTATTTTTTGTTTTTTAAAAATTGTTTTAATTCAAAAGATTATTTATTCCTCACTGCCCCCTTTTGGCAGTCCCAGTGGCCCCTAAATCTACTAAACCTTTCAGTGCCTTCCCGGACAGCCCACTTTGAGAACCACTGATCTAAACAAATATATTTCATTTGTTTATTAAAATTGTGAAAATTTATAATTTTTCTCCAGATAAGGAGACAATTAATGTAAATGGATACTGCACCAGAACATCAGAGAAGAAAACAATAGTTCTTCATAAGTGAGTCATTACTTTTATCTGAATTCCTTAATGTGACATAATATTTCTTTTAAAATTATCTTTATGTCACATTTAATTTTCACCCAAATAAAACATCATCATCAGTGACACTACAACCCTGCCCTGCTCCACCACATCCTTCCATTTGGATCGATCCATGGCTTTCCGCCTTCATGCATGAACTGCAAGCTGGTGTTTGTCCTTCTCTACATTGTGAATCCATCTCAGTTTTGGTTGACCAGTGAGCCATCTGCCCCAAGGTTTCTGCCTATATATCACTTTTGCTGCTCTAAAATCTGGCATCCTTTCATTTTGGTCCTGTCCAGCTCAGTCTGCCTTTTTTATTGTTGTGACTTTGGGTACCCACATAGTACTACAACACTTTTTTGTTGACATGACAGGATTCACAATAAAACTAATAGTAGTTTTCAAAGCCGCTGTCGTTATTCACTTTTGTTGACTAAATCATCAAGTATAATTGGCTATGTGGTCAATGTTTAAGTTAACTTATTCTTTTATTCATACAGATGCACAAAAAAAGAAAAATATACTCTAATAATTGATTTGAGTAACCTACATTTTTACTCTTAATTGTAAAGTCGATGGTAGGGGCTAATAACTTAAACATTATTAAGTCAAGGGTAAGGTAACTCCAACCAAGACCAACCAACTCAATTTATGACCCAGCCAACCTCAACCATACCTATCCTTACCAACCTCTTAACAATCCCATCTAACCCACTTTTGAGCGTCCCTCATGATGATGACAAAACCCAAATTGACTAACCCCCCAAATAACTAATCCCAACATTGACTCAACCCATCATTGACTCTCTATTGACATCTCTTCAGACCAACAACCTCGCGGAGCACATATGAAACACCTGCAGCTGAATCAACATCGACCGATGATGAGACTCAGCCGTCACCATCAAAAATACCAAGGCACCCAATCCTGTCGTCCCAATCAAAGGAATTTGTGGCAGAAACAGATACAGTGACGACTAAAACTGATTTTTTACCACAGGATCTTAAAAGCTTAAAAAGATCTGAATTATTCCCACCTATTTCACCATCTAATGCAATCGAAATTTATGGATTACTCGCTCATCCATTTGATAAGGAATTAGACGATATTAGCTCAGAGTAAAGAAGTTACTGTCTGAGATATTAATAAAGAGGGTGTGTACAGAACCAAGGCAACAAATATTAATTTGATACAAAGCTAAAAAAAATTACTGGCCGAGTAAATTCTGTACATTGGTTCTATTTTATTTTTATCAGCTAAAATCAATTTGAGATACTTTGTACTCTTGACTCAGATTCATTTTTATTTAAGAAAAATTTTGTTCGGCCTGTGATGGAGTTTGAATCCTGTGCCTGACTCCTGATAATTAATATTTTATATATACATTTCTTGTCACCAGTTTCATGGTGAATGGCACAAAAATGTAGATTTTCACATTTTTTTTAAAGGTTTTCCAATTGGTTTGGCTGTGGTTTTCACTGAATTTAGAAGGGAAAAAAAAAAACACACGTTAAAAAATGGTAGTGATCATGTAATATTTGTTTATTTATGACAAGAAATTCAAATTTAACAAAATGTAACTCAAATTTTCCATGCAAAATGTGCTGTGGGATTGTACAGTAATCTATAAGGTAAAGTATAAGTATAGATTCTGGCAAGAGTGCTTCAGTGACCAGTAGTGTAAATAGATAAAAAAAAACTGAAGGACTGCTTTCAAGCTGGGTGAATGAAATAGTAAAACAAGTTATTTTGAAGCTTGAATCAAAAGACAGGACAATTAGATATGAAAGTTTCAGCTTAGAGCCTTTTTCAGCAAATAGGACAAATTGAAGTATGACAAAAACAGAGCATAGTAAAAAAAAACTGTTAGTTACATATCAGTGACCATTAGTTACATAACATTGACCAGTAGTTACATACAGTGACCAGTAGTTGCATATCATGGACCAATAGTTATATATAAGCGACCAGTATTTACATGTCAATGACCAGTAGTTACATGTCAGTGACCAGTAGTTACATATCACTGACCAGTAGTTACATAATTCGTTATTAGATAGTGTAGTGCAGTGGTTCTCAACCTTCCTAATGCTGCGACCCTTTAATACAGTTCCTCCTGTTGTGGTGACCCCAACCGTAAAATTATTTTCGTTGCTACTTCATAAATATGTTTTTTTTTCCAATGGTATTAGGCAACCTCTGTTTAAGGGTTGTTCGATCCACAAAGGCGTCGCGACTCACAGGTTGAAAACTGCTGGTGTAGTGTGACTAATTGGATGTTTGATAACATATCTCATGGTAATAAATCATAATTTCAAATCCGTTTGTATAATTCCCAGCAAGAATCACAGCTTCTTTAAGTTTCTACAAAATATTTTTAATATAATTTCATCCCTAAAAATAGCGGTGTCCTTATAGACTTATTATGGCAAAGTTTAAATTAATTTAACAACTTTAAATAACAGGATATCACTTTCTAAAACTCGCCGCCGTGGTCTTCTGTACCATATTCATCGTCTAGAGCTGACATATGGGAGAAGGGTATATTACCCTATTTTTATTGTTTTATACTATTTCAAACTGACAACTGGTAGAACCTAATTTGAAAACATGACAATGAGAGGAATTTTCTTAGTGAGTGGCTGACCCAGCGACCTGAATTTAATCACATTTAAAAATCAATAGAAGCAAAGATAAAGTATTCACACACCTTTTATTGTCCATGACAATGTATGAATGTTATGCAAAGAATTATTTAGTGGAAAAAATTACGGGTGTCATGATTGTATTGAATATTGCAATAGAACTTAAGAAGGAAAAAAAATTATTTCTGTTATTAATCCATAACTTTTAATTATATTCTTCTATTCAGCTTCGGTGCCAAATTTTATAAAAAAAATAATCATTTCAAAACATCATCGAGATATATTATTATTATTATTATTATTGGTGGTTTTATATAGCTTGGTACCCCAGCCTACGGCTGGACTCACCACGATGTGAAAACAATTTAACAAACATAATCACGAACTTAAAAATGAACATACATTAATTAAATGAAACAAAACAAATGTATATTCACTCCACCCATTCCAGAACTATTTACATGTCAAGTCATGGACGGCGCCCAGCAGTATTGTTTATTGATCAGAGGGGGGAATCAGTCAGGATAGTAGAGTTTAAAGAGATGTGTTTTGAGTGCGGTTTTGAAGGCTGTGATTGTTGGTCTATTGCGAATGTGTAGTGGAAGAGAATTCCATTGTTTGGGCACAGAAAAAGAACGATCGTTCACCATAAGTTTTTGTGCGAGGCTCTAAAATAAAGACATTTCAATTACTGCACAAATTTGTCTCCCCTAAATTAAGACATTTCAATTACTGCACAAATTTGACTGCTCTAAAATAAGAAATTTTAGTCTATGTACAAATTTTACTTCTCTTTTAACATTTCAAAGTATCAATGGATTTTTTGTTCCTGGTGGAAAAGGAATATTAGCATTTACTGTCAATTATCTTTTTTTTAAAATTGTAATAAATTTTTAGCTACAGGTAGGATATTTATGTATATATTATGTACATTTTATTTATGCATATATGAATGTATTTTGTTGTATTTAAGAAGGATTTACTGAAACATTTAAATTTATATTCTGTATAATCATAAAAGCTGAATATATAAATTGTTTTATTTACACCACACAAATTGTTTGTGTCTTATTAATCTACTTTGAAAACTTTATGCAGTTTTAGAATTGGATAAGATAAAAAAAAAAGTAATTGAAAACTACTGTTATGGGAGTATGAAAACTTATTTGCACATTTTGTAATATTATTATGGGAAATGTATCACATTACAGAGAGAAAAAGTGTGTTTCTATGCAACGCTCTACATTGTTCATTCACAGAGGTTTACATTAAAATACCACACCTTCTTTCAAATGTAAGTTCTGCAGGCGCCCATGGAATTACATTCCCTAACTGCCATTATGAAACTTTATGTGATAATATTTCTCTGAAATATGTGAGAAAATTTTATTTGTAAAATAAAAAAATAAATAAATAACTCATATTTTTCTGTGTGTTTTTCCTGCCCCAAAAACGAATAAAGAAACGTAGGGGTTGTTATATATTTACCAGCTCACAGTTAACAGAAATGCAGCTCTTAAGTATCAGGTACATTTCAGAAAGAAAGATGTAGGCTATACAAAACTTATCCAGTGACTGTCACAACCGACACCATTACAAATTTACTACATTGGCACATTGGACTAGGAAGGGGTGATGGGGGCGGGCTGTCCCTGGCGGCACAATAGAGTTGGGCGGCATTTTCGGTGGGACGCAAAGCATTACTTTAATTCCACTATCAACGACTACTCATTAAGATGAGGTATTTGAACTATAACTGGCTAAATTTATACAGCGTGTTTAATCTTTTTATTATGACCCATTTAAATTATATATTACAAGCCAATATATCCGGCGTTGCGCGGGATTGCCAGAGGACCCCAATCCGAATGGGGCCCCAATCCCATTCTCACCACGATCCCGGCGCGATCCCTTTTCCCGGGGTGATCCCGTTTCCGGTGGGGTTCCGTTTTCTTGTGGCTCCGGATCCAGGGGGAATCCAGATCCCGGTGGGATCCCGATCCCGTTGGTGTCTTGATCCCAGTGGGATCCCGATCTAGGTGGATCCCGATGGCCTACCAATTCCGTTGAGATACAGTTCTCTGTGGGACCCAGTTCCACCTAGGGACTCTCTTTTCCGATGTTAACCCTTTTCCCGATAGGATTCTGATCCCGGTTTGTTTGCGTTTCCCGATGGGATCGCGTAATCGATGGGTTTCAGTTTACTGTTGGATCTCGTTCCCCATTTTTATCCTGTTCCTCTATGGGATCATGCTCAGCGCGATTTTGTTCAAATAAGCTTTTAGATCCCATTATAGATCCCCTTTGAACAATAAAAAACCTTCTGGAACAGTATAGATTAATTTTAATATCTTCCATGAAACGTGCAAAAAAAGTATTCTTCAACATAATTATTTCTCGAATTCGAATTATTTTAAACTTAATTAAACTACTATAACTAAAGTACATTTAAAATACAATGGGGGGCCCCGGCGGGGGACCATTTAATAAAGTACCGTTTACATTATGTCTGAGATGGGGTGGGGGCCCTATAAAAATCATTCAGATAAATCATAGAATTAAAATTTAAAATTTGTCCCAATAAATCGGATAAAAAATACAATTGTTATAGCTTTTTAAAATTATGGAACTTCATAGAAAATTCTAGATCGGCCCTGCATGGATTGGATATTCTTAGTTTTAAATCCATCGATATTTCACTACGGACAATGAAGGGTATTGCTACCACGCTAAGGTTATATCGATCAATTCACATAGAACCTGTAGTGTTGTTTAAGCCTATTGATATTTATAAAGCTTATATAAGGAAAAATAAAATGGGGCCCCCGGCCCCAGAAGAATGGATATTATGAGTTCAGTACCCTTCGGTATGTGAATATGGATAATCAAGTATATGTGTACTAAGTTTGGTCAAGATCCATACATTCATGTAGGAGTATTAAGCTTATTGATATTTATAAAGCCAATATAAGAAAAAATTAAACTGGGCCCCAAGCCCCAGAGGGATGGATATTATGTGGTCAGTACCATTCGGTTTTTTAGTATGGATAATCAAGTGTATGTGTACTAAGTTTGGTCACGATCCACCTACTCATGTAGGAGTATTTGTTTCTAATTATTTTTATATAGCTCATAAAAGGGAGAAAAAAAACGAATTCGGGGCCCCCGGCCCCAAACGGAATGTTATAAAAAGTTCATAACCCCTTAAGATTTTCCTTCTGGATCATGATGGATATATATGACAAGTTTGGTCAAGATCCATCAATCCTTGTAACAGCCTTTGGGGAACAAACAAATCCCACCACAAACAAACAATCACTTTGATATACATGTACAGGGTGGGCCAATAAAAGTGAGAACATCTCGTAAAATATTACGCTACGAAATGTTCTCACTTTTATTGGCCCACTGTATATACTAGCCTAACTAGCCTACATACCCGGCGATGCCCAGGCAGTGGCGTAGCGAGGGTGTTTGGCGCCCGGGGACAAGATTCGCGCCCGGGGACAAGATCTATTTTTAGCGCCCCTTTTTCTTTTTTTCAACTCTCAAACCCATTATTTTCATCAATAAAATAATATCAAAGCACATTTTGGCGCCCCTAACTAGCTGGCGCCCGGGGACATCTGTTTCCCCTTGCCCCCACCACGCTACGCCTCTGTGCCCAGGATTATATTAGGACCCCATCCTGGTGTGATCCCCGATCCCATTGGGACCACGATCCCATTGCGACACCGATCTCGGCACAGTCCCGTTTCCCGGTGTGATCCCCATCCCAGAGGATTGATTCAAGGTTAACATCCCGATCCCGTGGGATCCCGTTTTCTGGTGGGATCATGAAGCCTTTAGGGTAAAGATTATGATGGGATCCCGACCCATTTGGGATCCCGTATCAAAAAAAATCTTGATTGGTACTGAGAGAACAGTAAACTCCGGGGCAGTATAGCAATGAATAGATCTAACTAACATTTCAATAATCCCTTAGATCCCACTATATATCTCCTTGTAACAATTTAGACTTTTCTGGAATATTCTATATTAAATTTAATAACCTTCTCAAAACATGTGTAAAAACTACTTTTCTAATTATTTTTTTTTTTTTTTTTTTTTAATCCGATAAAAATATTCAACAAATGCTATAATTATATTCTTTTTTTTTTTTTTTTTTTTTTTGAATCCGATAAAAATATTCAACAAATGCCATAATTATAATCCTTTTTCTTTTAAGTTAATCAATGGGCCTCGGAGGGGGGGGGCATTCCACAACTGTACCGATTTAGTTATGCTTGCGATAGGGGGCCCTACAAATATTAGACGGATATAATAGAGTTTAAATTTAAAATTGGTCCCATTGAAATCTACTTAGAAATGCCATCGATATAGGCCTAGCTTTTTTTAAATAATCGAACTTTCTGGAAAATTCTAGAATGGATATTATTAATTTTAAATCCACCGATATTTCACTACAGACAATGAAGGGTATTGCTACAACGTTTGGGCTATATGATATCCATCAAGTCACATAGAAACTATAGTGTTGTCTAAGCTTATTGATATTTATATGGCTTATATAAGAACAAATGAAACGGGGCCCCCGGCCCCAAAAGAATGGAAGTTCAGTACCCTTCGGTATTTGAAAATGGATAATCAGGTATATGTGTATTAAGTTTGGTCAAGATCCATCTATTCATGTAAGAGTACTAAGCCTATTGATATTTATATAGCTCATATAAGAAAAAACAACATTTTGGGACCCCGGCCCCAAACTAATTGTTATAAAAAGGTCATAACCCCTTAAGAGTACCTTCTGGATCATGATGGATATATGTGCCAAGTTTGGTCAAGATCCATCAATCCATCTAAAATCCATTAAAATCGATTAAAAAATGCCGTCGATATAGCTTTAAAATTATCGAACTTTCTGGAAAATTCTAGATTGGATATTATTTGTTTTAACTCCACCTATCTTTCAAGACAAAGAAGTGAATGAACAAAGCTAGGCTTAGATCCATAACTCTACACACAGAACCTAAAGTATAACTTATAGAAAGAAAAATGAACAGGGGCCCCCGGCCCCATACAAACATACAAACAAATCAAATGCATTAAAAAAAACAAAAAACAAATCCAATATTATTCTCTCCTCACTAATACTTGGTGAAGATCAACTTTAATTTTAATTAAATTAATATTTTCTTTTTAAAAAATCATGCAAGTTATAATACATTGTTATTGAATACAAATGTTTTAGGATACATCTCATGCCACTTTATACAAACTGTACATCTGTACACCTGGGTTGTGATACAAGAAAAATAACAATGGGGTCATCCAATGAGTGACAAACAACCTTTACGTTCTGCCATGGACAACAGGTGGGGATGAGGTGAAACTAGTTTAACTATAATCCAATAATCTGTAAGGGATCTATACTAATTAAGTGGGCAGAGAAGATTTGGTTCAAGAACAAAAATTTTTAAGTGGAGAAAAAAACAACAACAGAGGTTCAAGTGAAAGAAATGTTTTTGTGTGATCCGGCTGCACCTCCTTTTATCTGTTTGAGAACATTCTAAACCAGCTTTTTGACCAGCACCTAGTTACATCAGCCATGGGTTTCTGCAGAGTGCTCTGCTCATAATACAATATGTTTTGTAAATTAATGAACAACGGAGAGATTAAATGACTTAAAGAGGACAACTGCAGTTAGAATGAAATGTAGTGCAAGTGTTTTACTAAAATGAAGCATGCATTGTACATCATGACAATGTAAATGAAAAAATTGTACATCATGGTAGCTAAATGAAAAATTTTCACACCATGGTATCTTAAAAACACAATATATACCAAAGGGAAACTGTACGTTTCTAATGCGGCAATTAAATGACATTCCATTTGTACAAAAATCTAA